TAACCTTTCTGACGAGTCCACCGGTAGTCCCGGGACGAAACGCAACTCTCTCTCTCTTCTCATCCGCCACAGTGGTATTTGCTGTCGAGTGCCGCCACATATCCATACTTGTGTTAATAAACTCTATCTTCACTGTACCACAACGATGACTAGTTCCAGTGGAGATTCATCAAACGACCACAACCCTAATACCAAAGCCAACCCGATATCAGAAGCGGGATCAGTGCCGGTTATAACAATGCAAGAGCATATGACTATCATGCGCGAGTTAATTCAGACGCTAGAGCAAAAACCGAGTGCGGAACCTAAAAATTTGGTGCCGAAACCGAGCGCGGAACCTATAAATCTAGTGCTACCACGTTTTAACCCCGAAATCGCGGGCGCCGATCCAATCGTATGGTGCGCAGCTGTTAATCTGCTTATGAAGGACAACCCTCTACAAGACAGCGCGTTAGTTTCTGCTTTGAATAGTGCACTAAAAGGTTCTGCAGCGCATTGGTTTACGCAGAGAGTGAACGACGAAGAGCTTACCTGGTCAATGTTTAAGGAACATTTTATTACGCGTTTTGGTGGCAAAGCAACCTCGACGCTAATGAATATATTCAGAGAACAACCACAGAAGGACGAAAATATGGCAGCTCACGCCATTCTTCTCCGCTCCCTCCTGAAGACGAAGTGGCAAAATGTAACTATGGCGGAAGTAATCAACGCTATCATTCTTTGTCAAGTGAGCCCACAAGATCAGCGCATTGAACAAGTAGCACTTGAGAAGGATATCAAGACCGAGGACCAATTTCTAAGTGAAATGAGAGTTCTCGCTCTCGCGAAGAGGCCGGCGTCTTCGACAAGTAATACATCAACTGGCTCTGAAACCAAACGACACAAGCTACCTGACTCCCGGAATAAGTGCCTTTACTGTAGTGTCTTCGGACATAAAATAGCGGAGTGCCGAAAGAGGGTAAGGATGGAGAAACAGAAGGATACGCGACGCCTTGAAGGAAGCCGACCAGCTACATCGTCCAAGGTGTTTTGCTTCAAGTGTCTTGGGAAGGATCATGTCGCGCCTGATTGCCAGTTACTGCGGGAAAGAAACTATGATTCCAATAACGAACGTCGAGTCGGCTCCTACGCGGTGGAGTCTCCAACTGGTAGATTAAGTCATCTGGGTGAGTCGTTCCCATTTTACTTCAATTCTGGAGCCGATTAATTAAAGAGTCCGCAGCCTCGAAATTTTCTGGCAAAAGAACGACTGATATAGTAGTAATCCTTGCTGATAGTTATTTAAAGCACGATATCATGATTAGTCGCGAAATTTTAAGCCAAGGTTTTGACGTAAATATCACGCGAAATAGCCTCGTTATTTGTAAAACAAAGACAATTAATGCCTGTAGGAAAACCGCGGAAGGCTTCGATGTCCTTTCATCTCCGACATATATAAAAAATATTTATTTATCGAACTTACAAAAACAACAAACTCAGCAGAAATCACAGCAATTTTGATCTTTATTTCCGTCTTATAATTATAAAAATTGGTCTTTTTTATAAAAATATTAATATTATAAATATGCAACAAATTTTCTAAAAAGGTAGTATTTTTATTTATATTTTTTTGAAAAAACTAAAATGGAAAGTTTTAAGAAAGCTTAAACGTTTAAGTTTTCGATAAATAATATTGAATTATAAACATAAAAATGTAACACAACACAGATGTAAGAACGTTAGTATCATATTCAAGGACAAAATAGATTTACTAAGTCTTTAAGGACTTATAGTATTCGCTAAAAGGCAAAAAATGTACTGAAACAACAAAGGTCTTAAAATCAATCCTTTCGACTTGTTTTGAAATTTGTCAAAGTTTGTTCGTTTTTATATTTGCAAAAAGATATTTATTACAGCTTCTTTTCATTCCAATATAAAATTGATGTTTGTGGATCGTAGGTCGACGCATATATTGCATATTTTCAAGTTATTCCTTCGTATTATAGGACATTTTTCTATTCGCGTTCAAGAATTTTCTATCGTTGCTCTATAATCTAAAATCCCTCAAAAAAGAAATTCAAACCATCCTTATCTTTGCATCTAATATATCACAGCTTACAATTGATATTTCTTAAGTCTTTGTAAATATGAAAATACAAGATTTTACATTGAAAGAATTGATTTTGATATTTAAACGTGCGTAATGTACATCTTAAAATGTCAAGATATTTTCAATGAAATAATACAATTATTGATACAAATTATTATAACTACCTTTCTATCAATTTATCAAATTATTCATCAAAAATATGCAGCTGATAACTAAAATCTGTTTATACTGCCGATCATAAGTATTAAATGACCTGCTAATATTGAAACAAATTGTAAGCTTCCCATTGTTTTTATTTTCCCAGTATGAGATTATAAATTCGCTATTTTTTAAACTAAATATTTATCTATAATATTTGTAGATAGAAAGCACATAACGAGAGTAGGTACAATATTTGTATAGATAAAAAGTACATAACATTTTTACGATAATACCTTAAATTTTTAAACAAGTTTTTTAAAAGCAGTTTTTTAAAAAGTTATGTAGCGGCACAAGAGTTAGAATTTGCTTCAAATCATGTTGTTGTTTTGCTTCGGAGTATCAAGACCGTTAGGTCACAGGTATTGTAAGGAGTGCAAATGAACTCCGGGCAAAACAATGCTGCCGCTACATGTAACCGTAAAACAAGACGAATTTGTATCTTTCGACCTTCTCCTGACGATTGTAAATAAACGAACGTGATTGCAAACGAGTCAGTATAAACTGTGACTAAACGACTGTATAGATACCGTTTCGCGACAAGATCTGTTTTAAATACACTGATAAAACATATTGATTACACATATTGGTAGTCTCATTATTCGATTCCCTACAGTTATAAATATATGGGCAAGCCGATATATGATTTACATAACATAAAATACTAAGTAAAACAAAAGTTCAAGGTCTTGAACAAGAATAACAAATAGCAGTCTTAATACTTGTCACTGGCACTATCTATTAATCAAAGGATCAGAAATATTGTCTTACCATTATTTTTTAATAAAGTAAAGGAGAAAGAGCTTTTTTATATTGTTTATGGTAAATCTTATAACATTATCAAACATCATAACTTTGAGTATTTTCTGTTATTAAATTTGAATGTGTCACGCCCCGCGACCCGCAATAATTCCAAGTACCTGTCATCTTATTAAAACTTCGATTAACGGCGAACCGGGTACGCGACGCGTTTCGCGGCCCTGGCATATGATTCTTTTTCCAGCGGCTACTTTGGTCTCTATTATAGAACCGCGGAAAGATCGCTGACAAAACGCAAATGCCAACAAGCCGAAAGGGTCGGAAAACTTCAATAGGCCTAACGGCCATCAATATGTTTCGGCACCGCAGCCGACGATAGTCAAGAGTCAAGAGTCGTTAATCGACAATTTTCATATATTATATTACTGCATTAAGTTCAAGTTAAATAATCATCGTTTTCTGTTTAAATATCCACTGTATAATAATCTACTGTAATGAATAATCCACTATAATAAATCCAGCTATCAATACATTATCGCGTAGGATAGAAACCACTGAAAATCCTAATTTCTAACATTTCTGAATAAAAAATTTCTATAATACATTCATCCACGCGTTTGCCCCCGCTATTCCGAGATAAAAACCTCAACACATAATACCAAATTATTTAAGATGATTCTGTTATAAAATAAAATATTCTTTTTAGAAAAACAAATGTATGGGCTATGTTAAGTAAATTTAAACAAAATTATTATATATTTGTATATATAAATTATTCCACGAATAACGATTTGTTTCTTACTTTCTGGGCATAGTCGACGTGGCGAAATCATTTTCCTTGTTACGTAGACGACGACGGCTGTCGAGCGTGACAGAACGATCCGAATATAAACGGTGTTCCGGTTCGCTTAAATATCCACTGCCACTTTCGTAACCATATCTCGTCCCTAGAAAAAATACGTTTACAATTTATTGAAATTGTAGGCACTGTAGGGGTTGAAATTGCCCGCATGTATGAACATGTTAAAATTCTACCGTTCATCCCTCACCAGCGATCGGAGAAGAAAATTGAAAAAATATGCACTCGTATTTACAATATATTTCGCGCCAATGAAATTTTGACTGGTTCGTTAAAGCTTCTGATACTGAGTTGTAAATATATATATTACAATCAATGGTTTTAATAGGTAAGTAGTGCACTTTGTTAAATTACATGTAATAATAAATTTTTTATTGTTATTATTACGTAATTATAATTATACAATATGATTATACAAGTGTATAATTATAATTATATATTTATAATTAAGCAAATATGCTTATATGTGAGGGTACATGCCTAAGTAATATCTAAATATTATTATAATATGGTTAATTAACTCGATACAACATTCATTAGTACAACTTTTTTTTAAATCAAATAATCTCATTTCCTTTTAAATTTATTAGTTCAATTTTGAACTTTAAATCTACTAATAGAAGAACAATTTTTATTAATTTCAAATATATAGGATTCTACACCTTTGAATCGATCGACGTGACCATAACCACTAGTTTGAGAGCGTTATTCTATAAAATTATTATTTTAACGAATATTTTATATGTCTATGTATAGCGTGTTATATGTTCTGTTATTGAACAATTTGTGAAACAAAGCAACAGCAATAATGAATATGTCTTGAACTGGATTTTGGTACTAGCGACTTAAATATTAGGTTGTCTCTTTCGTTATATAAGGAAATGATAGGTGCATAAGATTTTTTGTTTTATATTATTTTATTGAATTCTGTATGATGCATTTTGTAGTAACAGAACGAAACGAAAGGTGCTTTTCTGACAACCTGATACTTTTCTGTTTAATGTATAATAACATGTAAAAAATATGGTTTTATAAAAGAAACGCAGGTCAGCTCCATATGCTCTCCACGTGTCTACCTAAGGAAGAACTAATCTCATCAAATAATCCTCCTTCGGCTCAACTTTTATTTGAAAGGTCTTTTCGTAGCAATAGTTCACCTTTATTCGCTCACCTTTTGTCACATGAAATATCACGTGATAAAGAATAATTACCTGTTTATTCATGAATATCACGCTATTTACTTCCTATCAGAAAAGTCTAATGAAAAAATGCCCTTGAAATTCAAGGCTGTGCTGATCTTTACGCATAATTTTTATACACAGTGTGCTAATAGAACTAGATACGATACGTTGGCTGTAGGTATATGATACCATATCTATAAGAAAAATTTTATTATTAAAAATATTTTATTTTTAGTATATTCACCACGACACTTTTGTCATATAAAATGTCATATTTCTATCTTTGTTTCACACTGAAGAGTAAGTGTTATCAACAGATGAATAAAGTTAAGCTAGCATAAAATTATTTCACGAACCTATCGGTGTATTTTTCTTGTATATACGCATAACCAGCGGTCTCGCGCCGTAAGGGGATCGGCAACCACTACTAACGCATACTCTGGCACGGATGCACAATTTCGGACAGAATTTGTTGTAGATGATACGACAGTTTTTCGCGAACATCTCGGAAACTAAGCGAAATCGCCAGTTATATGCATAAGAAAAAGTTATTCAAACTGTTGATTTCTACTACATATCCAAACGTCATCGAAATCGGTTAGGAGATAACACATCGATAGATTCGCCAACTATTTAGTCGTACAGAAAATAAATTACGAAAATGTACAAAACTGATAGTGTTCTTTACTATACATATATATGTGGAAAACAAATGAATCTAACTTTTTTATTATATATGTTTGTTTACTTTTAAAAATGTAAATTTGTCAAGTTATTCTATCTATAATGTTTATTTCCTCAGTTGCGATACTATTTTTCCCGAGACATGGTATTATAAAAATCTTTAGAAAGAAAATTCTCTAACTGCAAACTTATTTTGGCAAAATCTCCTTTGTTGTTCAGTTATAATAAAAATATTTTAGTAATCGAGAGATACACTATAGTTAACGGAAAAGATAAGAAGAATCTTTTTTATTCCGTTATACAGGGTGGTTGGTAACTGGTGATACAAGCGGAAAGGGGGTGATTCTACGCGAAAAAAGAAGTCGAAAATATAGAATAAAAATTTTTTTTTTTCTTTTCCATCGAGACAACGATCTACAGTGAGATCCGTTATAACGAGACGCGATAAAGTGCACGCGTACCGAGCGAAAATTCAAAGTCGATTTTCTCGAAAACAAAGCCTCGAACGAAAAATTTGTATTCTATATTTTCGACTTCGTTTTTCGCGTAGAATCACCCCCTTTCCGCTTGTACCACCAGTTACCAACCACCCTGTATATTTATACTGATTTCTTATTGATTTTACCGTTTTGTATGTATGTATATATAAGGTGACCAATTTGTGTAATTTAACGTGTAAAAGACAAGGAAAGACACGAAACGGTATTCTTACGATTACGTTATCTTATGCTTTCATATACATGCGTTAAATTTAACAAATTTAAAAAATTAAAGAATTTCCAGCTGCATCGATTAATATATTAAATAAAAAGTATATAATTCCATCTAGAGAAACACTGGTGGCCTTCATCTGACTTCTACGCCTCTGTTCATAAACGAGAAAATTAATCATGTCAAATTATGTCCCCCCTCAACAACATCCAACATATTCCCGAAACATTTTTTATATTACCAAAAACAAACGAGATATTCTAGTGATAAAATTAGGTGGGACACCTCGTATTGTATTACATAAAATTAATAGAAATGACGATACACTGAATAAATTATACTGTACACTATTTGAAAATTATTAGAATGGATTTGTACGTCAAATGGTAAAAACTGTTTAATCACTTCAAGTAATAAACACATATGTCAAATTGAAATTTTATATCCTCGGTATATATTCGGAGAAATCTTTTTTAAAACTAATGAAATTTTATGTTGTAGCGAGTTAATTGATAGAGCATGTGTCGTGACTAACGTGAAAAAGTTCATTAACCGTCTCGAAATAAGATTAAAATGATTGTACAAAGTGTTTAGAAAAAGGAATTCGGTGCTTAGTGTTCACTGGGATGACTAAAAAATGACCGATCAACAAAGAACCTAAAGGCAATCTTTTCGGTGTAAAATCAATTTTTATTATTTATTAGCACTCGATATCGTGAGTGAATCTCTTCATAGTACATTGAACGTATAGTTATTGGAGACGAAACACCGTTATTAACATACGAAATGCATATTTCTTCATGTTTGATCGTGTCCGCAAGAACGCTATTTCGCTTTCAACGATTATACATTCAATGTGTTATGAAGAGATTGACTTATGGTATCGAACGCTATCGAGTTTACATCAGAACGTTGACTAGACATTTTTTACTGTCTCTGTGAGTATTATAAGTCCTTTAAGCATCGACTCTTTTCTTTCACATTTTACATATTCATAGACACAAAATGCTTAAAAATTGTATTAACAAATACCTGGATTACAAGAATATTTGAATCGTCATCCTGTTAGTGGAAGGGCAAGCAAGTATCACGCTATGTTTTAATGATAATTATTTGGAATCGAATGCGTCTCACCGATCTTAACGACCTTCGAATGTGTTGTCAAAGTCGTAATTCTAAACAACTTTTTCCAATACATGTTATTGCCGCGCCGTTGGGCCTTAATTTCCGACATATTCGCAAAGAGCTTCAATGGAATTTAAATTACGATTACTTTATTCTGGAGTAAGCAGCTGCATTCGCATGTAGTCCAACCTAAACTGAAATCACTGATGAGAGAGGTAATCATTTTTAATATTGTATAAATGAAAAAATTAATGGGTTATAAATTGGATTAGCGTACTCTCCGGCCTCCATTATGTGGTCGGCAACGCTAGTGTGAAATAATTTTCGATGAATCAATTGACATGTGAAATGTGTTGTACCTTTTATAAAGGACAGAAAGAACAGAAAATTATTATACACGAAATTAAAAAGGGTCCAAATATGCATTTCGGTTACAAAACTCGTTGAAATGGTGCCCCACAAATTTAAAGTGGGTATCGATCTTGAATTATTTATATCGCAGAATTTTACAAAACAACGATGTCTGTAGTAGAATTCCACGGAAGGAACCATTTATTAACAAGACGAATCAAGGTAAGCGTTTAAAATTTGCAAAAGAATATTTAAATAAAGATAATGTTCTTTAGAAACAACGTTTTTTCTGACTAAAGCAAACTAAATGTATTTGCACGAGTTATGTCATTGCACATATGCACATTTGGGTATCGTTATGTCTGAAGAAACTTCAATTCATTATAAGAAATAAGTACTAAAAATGTACGTCTTATTGCAACACGTAGCACGCCGCTCGGCTTTGTTTTTCAAGTTATAAATCAATTTATGTTTAATACTACATGACGTGTACTATTTAACAATTTATTTTATACATTTTTATAAACAATTTTTCAGTGACAATAGGTATATGTATTATCATTTTGAGCAACTGAGAATCAGAATAAAGTGGAACATTCCATATATCAATCAATTTATCGAAAATTATTTCACGCTATTATTGGCGACCGCCCAATGACGATCGGATAGTACTCCATCCCAATCCATAACTCATTCTCTTTTTTTTTAATTAATACAATAGTAAAAATGGTTACCACTCTCATTAATGGGTTAACTCTAGATTGAGCTGTGTAAAAATGCGACTACCTACATCATCGTGAAGTATTAGGTTGTCCAAAAGGTTTCTTTCGTTTTATAAGGAAATAATAGGCGCACATTGTTTTTTGTTTTATATTAGTTTATTGAATTATGCACGAACATAATAACAGAATTAGAACGAAATGGATCATACCTAATTCAGTAAAATGACATAAAACAGAAATTGTTGTTCATCTATTATTACCTTATGAAACGAAAGAAACATTTCGGACAACCTAATATAATCGTAAGCTAAATT